TATTACTATTATTATATTTATTATTAATAATAATAATAATAATAATAATAATAATAATATTTATTATTATTATTATTATTATTATTAATATTATTATTATTATTTTTATTATTATTATTATTATTATTATTATATTTATTATTACTTAATAAAATTAAATACTGTACACAGCACTCTGAAGCCCTGTACATACACTGATTTTATGCGACAAATTACCGGTGATTTTCCCACATTGTGGATTATATGGGTGTAATAATGTCATCATCATGCTGATACAGTATACAGAAAAATGTCATACTAGATAGATTTTTTGCATAGGCCTACAATTTAATAGTGTGAGTAGAGCTTATGCTTTTTTACGTTTAAATTCCAGATAAAGATACCAGCAAACATTCGAATGATACGACCTCTGGTGTGGGAACAACTAATGGTAACGTACTTATAGTGTCAAATTAACATGGACCTGTAATAATAATTATAGCTCCATGATAGTTTGGTAAAGTGTATCAGTCAATCGCAAGCCTTGTCGGTGAATATGATGAAGAATGGTTTAGGTCAGTTTTATTTAAGATACATATGGACCATGGAGGAAATATATTAAGATATAGTTCCTCCATGATATAACCCCTTGTTTTACAGCATTACTAGATTAATTGAATTTTTGAAAAGTAGTTTTTGGAGATTTTTCAGATTGCAATCGTCCAGATTTATTTTGAAAAGGACACTGCGAGTCTTGCAACATACTGTACATCATTGGATCTATGGCTTCCGACGCAGTCTTCCAAAAATGCAGGCGCTACTCTCAACAACTTTTACGATGGAAAATTGTTTCTGGACAACATGACGGATGCATTCAATCTGGATAACGAGTAGATGAACTGAAAAAGCACATGACGAGAATTATACTCACGTTTAAAAAGTAATTGCTTTGAATTATTAACAATAATTTTTGTTAAAGATGTTAGAGCCAATAATAATTAAGCATATTTGCAGTGTAGGTGTTTCTCCATAGCGAAGTTACTATCACGTGATTTACTATTATCCATTGTGTATTACGCAATACCGTCAGAAAAAAACTTGTACTAATGGGAAAATCCAAGGGTGAATACCACTTAGCCTCATAGCTGAATTGGTAGATTATCTTAACAGTAATCGGAAGGTCTTGAGTTTAAATCCCGATAGTAACAATATGTTTTTCTCAAATATTTATTATATTTTCAAACAAAAATGTCTAAAATTCTATTGATGAACCGTACAGAACGAATCTGGACATTGTGCCAGTGTCACATTAATATCGTCCCCAAATCCTTTCAAAGGAGTTTCAAATTTTGAACAACTGAACAGAGGCATCAACATCGACCTCGATTTATTGATATAATTATGGAGATAATACTTACATTACGCTCATATACATAATATGTATTATACGATTAGGTATATAGTTTGTTTGTTATTATAAAAACATAGAATGAGTCTGTTGCAGAGTATCATGTTGCTATTATCAACCACATTCGTATTGTATCATGTCTTACACATTTTGATAATTTGGTGGTATTTTTGTCAAGTAGTATTAAATATTATTATTATTATTATTATTATTATTATTATTATTATTATTATTATTATTATTATTATTATTATTTTAATATTATTTTTCATTATTTTATAAACATTTTCTGATTTTTATTTGTGTTTCACTTTAATTAATCTGTTAAAGTTTAAGATCTAGTTTAATTTTCATCCTCTATTCTTTTGTCTTTAATTGTATGCACTGAAGGTCCCAATTGATCTAAAAAATATTGTTGAAATAAATAAATAATAAATACATTATTTTTAATTTATTATTATTATTATTATTATTTATAATAAATAAATAATAAATACATATTTAATTTATTATTATTATTATTATTATTATTATTATTACTATTATTATTATTATTATTATTATTATTTATATTATTATTGGATGTTTTATAATCAGTCATCAAAAGGGACAATGTTTGTTTAATGTTGTTTATTCTGTGGTCTGTATCAACCAATCAACCATCCAAACTACCATCAACCATTTAATCTGTCTGTAGTCTAACAAATCGATCAATCAACTTTACATTTACCATACTACTGGCTGCATGGGGACAAACATAAATGTCATGCACAAGGAAACACGGAATGATCGTGTGGAATTCGAACCCTGACTTAAATTCAGTCAATCAATCAAAAGTTTTATTTCACGAAAAATAGGCTTATACATTTAAAATATAGGCTTACAATTATAATTCGTTTACCTCACTTCTTGAGGGTCAGCAAAACAGCAATCCGCTGCACCAATCACTCCAACTCATCTTAGCCTGGTTCACGTCGCACTTTATCTAGATATACCCGTCTTGAAACATGATACGATAATCCCCTAATTGCGTTCGATGCCAAGTTATAGCCAGATAAACAGCCAGCCAGTTTCAGGCCGTCGACGTCACACGGTGGAAAGGCTTGTTTAATAAAACATCTACTGTATTTTACGAACCTCTAGTACCAAGTGGTAGGCTTATTCGTTCAAAAAAAATGTAAACTACTGTAGAGAAAGTGTGAGATTCCACTACCTAACCTAGCCGACCAGTACGAACCAACGACAGTGCAGCAGCGTGTTCTATCGTAATCTAAGTAATAGATTCTCTAGGCCCTAGCTAAATTGACCTTCGATAAAAAACGAATTATTTTAATCGCTAGCTAGCATTCTTCCATTTAACAAAATAATTTTTAAATCTTCATTAAAACGTCTGTATACTTTAAGAACCTTTCTGTCCTGTTTTGTAGTTTTTAGATCGCTCAGTTGTGTTGTTTACATGCACTTCGCGTAAATCTAGCTTCGCGGTGTCAAAATAAGTTGCTGACTTCCACACACTTTTTTATTTCGTCATCGTAAACATGTGCGCTCATTTTTACGACTGGTGTTGGTGGTAGTTCGTTGAAACTGAATTAATAGCGACTATTATAGCAGAAATTGAAAAGATTGAATTATCAATAAATAAATAAAACAAATCTGATTTTATTATTAAGAAAAATATACATTATCACTTTGAAAAACGTACGCAATCAGACTTTTTAACGTTATTACTTGGTCGATGATGCAAAAGACAAAGGTTATTGGTAATATCGACTATTTGTAAAACGGACGTTTGCTTGGTTTTTACCCATAATATTACAAATAATTTCTGAAAACCAGACTAATGAGACTATTTCGATGCAGTTAGCATTGTTGGAGTACGTTGTTGCCAGCCAGAAGATGATAATGGTGGTACAATGCAACAACGCTGGCTTAGATGCCTACGTTACGTAATCGTGTCCTTGTAATCCGAGCCGACTTTACCGTTAAGCAAGTTAATTTACCGTTATTCTAGTAAAGTTAAGTCACTTAACTTAAGTAACTTAATTCCTTTATCTAGCTATAATTGAGTAGTTCACGTCGAACCTTTAACTAGTTAGGTGGATCGATATCTAGATAAAAGTTCGACGTGAACCAGGCTCTTGTATTTTCTATCAAGCCAAAACAAACAAATGTGTGACACCGGAGCCAAAACCCATTTACACTTAACGAAGAAACTGCTGGATGATCTCGGTCGCCCCCATTTACACTCGACAACGAATGGTAAACGAACAGGTACACCGCTGTTGAACGCTGCTCTCTATGGCCTTTTTTGAGGAAGGCTAGCTCATTAGTCTGCAATCAAGTTTAGTGTTGCAGGGGGGAAACATTATAATTAATCTGTACATTAAAAACCGAATTAATTTCTAAAATACAATCCAAAGCAATAAACGTGACTTACTTATGTTTATTTTTTTTAACTAAACGCGTTTAAAATATACAAATAGTTATATTATTACAACAAAATGAATAATTTAATGAAAAGTGGATGAAATCCCAGTTTTTGGAAGTCGGGACTGTTTACATTTATTCCGATGTCGACGGGACTATCCCAGAGAAGCTTCTCCTGAAAACATTCAGCTTCGTTGAGCTTGGGTTCAGCACACAGCTGGAGTCAATGACGTTCACCCATTTACACTAACCCCGGTGTTTAAAACCTGGGGTACTGACAACGGTGAAAATGGGTTTACTCCGGAGTCCCACTGATGGTGTAAAAAGGGTATTACTATTGTCTGTGATAACATTTTTTACATCACAAGTGATCAAACACTAACTTATCAATTGACCATCGCTTATAATCGAATCTATTTCTTGTAACGAAAATTGATAGAAAAATGGTTAAAATCCTTAGCACTCCATTATGAAGATCGAGGGGCGTAGCCACCGGTACGGCTGGTCAGGTTTCAACATGACCACATTTTCACAGACCACTAGTTAATTGATTAGGTTTTAAATAGGTAAAAAGGCTAAATTTCACCTGTGTGTTTTAGACTCAACCTACTCCCTTGACATAAATCAGGAACCACAAGTCTGTGAACTCAGGGGTGAACGGTTAATGATAGTTTACATTGGGTTTTTTTTCCCTTTAATGTAGGACTTATAATGATTATGATTAACAAAGTAGGGTGCATTTTTTCTTCAATTGAAATTCAATGTCTATGTGGGCTTAGATTTTATCCAAATCAAGTAAGTCAATTACTATATATACACAGTAAGCTTTTGCAGAAAATCAGACTAATGAATCCCTTATACATTTGCCTATAGGACTTGCATTCATTTCTTCACTAAATTACCTAGTCAAATGACAAGAAAAAACCATGCCTTTATCTGTATGTTTATTCCTGATAGTTCTAGTATGCAACATTATTTTTAATAAATAAATATACTGTAAATGTTCCTTTTTTAGGGTGCATGAAGGAAGCCGGCCGCCGACGACCAACAAGGACCTGAAGCTGCAGTATTATAATAGATTATAGATTCTTAAATAATTATACTATTGAGGCTATTTTCCACTAAAATACCGTACTCGCGCGAATAAGCGCCGGTTTGGAGAAGCGCCCGTCTCGAACAAGCGGCCCTCTGTGTTTATTCATTTTTTAAAACAATATTTTGTGATTGATTTTTTTTTTTTTTTTAGCAAACGATAATCTAACTTATCCTGAGACTGTGGTTGGCATGATTTAAGCTTAAACCATTATGTTTTACTTTTATCCATGAGTATAGGCCTACTCCAAGTTATACTGCAAAAAGTGTACCGCTTTTCCTATGAAATTTAGGGAATCCAACGTTAACGTCTAGCCTCACGCGCGTCTTCTGATAACTCTGTGAAAGTTGGTATCTGTTTTTTAAGTTTGTGGTGGCGGTTATTGGTTAAAAAGCGCGTAATAACTTCGAGCGGCAATCGGAAAGCCGTAGGCTACGGTCTCCATATCACCGAGAGGCAAATGTTTTCACCGTTATTCCCCTTATGAGCAGTTAATATGTGACCATTGAGAAAATGATACTTTAGCATAGTGGTGCTTTCCAAAAGAAGATCTCGATAGAAACCCCGTAAAATACACATAACGGCATAGTTATATATTATTAGGCATCGACAAAAATAACATAGGCCTATAAATATAAGAAATTATATTTTTTATATTTTTATTTATTTTTTTTAATTATTTTTTGTCTTATCTTTTCGGTTGTTGTCATCGATTCCTAATATACATAAATATTCCATATGTGAATTGCATTCATGTACCTTTCGTCTTTTTAGCACAACAAAAATAAAGATAACCAGTATACTGATTTTCCGTAAATTTGTACCATACTGGTGTCCGCCACCAACGTTTCAGCCAGGCCAATGTAAACATTGAAAGGGGGTCTATAATAGTTGGCCTGTTTACCCCACTATTATGTGCTGTCTACAAGCAGGGATTTCCCAACAAAATTCGGAAGCTTTTATAAATCTGGACAGAGATGTGTTTTTTTTTTGTTTTTTTTTTTTTGTTATTGGCTAAATTTGAATGGAAACTTATCATCGATATGTAGGCCTTGGAGCTGTGTTCTCCGTTTTCTGTAAACTCATAAAAGTTACTTTAAGTGTGCTACACCCCGTGGATATCCCATCAACACGACTTACCCAGCCAGGGTTCCCCGTCCCTAGCCCTATATATGGACATGGTGCTCAGATAGCGTTGAAAAATGTATTTTTAGACTTAATGCCATTTTTACCAGGTTCATATGCTATGTAAATCTGACTTTCTAATAAAGTTTCGGTGGTAACCATTCGGTATATCACTTGTGTATCTTTGGACTGGTGGTTGTCTGGGAAGGGGGAGGATATGGGGAAGTTAGATGCTTCTTACCTTGATTAATGTTATCTATTATTTGCTTTAAAAGTTCATCATCACATTTGGATAGACAGGCCTATATCTAAGTCAGAAATATTTAAATAGGGATTGATTCCTTAATGTAGTTTCAAACACCTTGATTTTGATGATTCCATAACAGAAAGGTGATAGATATTTGTATTTTTATTCATACTAATAATCCACAAAGATAGCCGATGATTGACGTTATTAATAATCCCGTGACTCTACGTGGAATTTTCTTCCGTCGCCACGTACGGATTCAAGAACAAGACCTCAAGCAGGGTGACTTTATCACGTTTCCAGACCTTGTGCTCCTTTTAATATTCGCATTTGTTTGTCAGGAGTGTGTGTTGCAATTATTGGAAGCGAATAGCCAATTTCATTTTTATCATTTCGTTAAAAGTGATGGTCCAGATCAATTCGTTACATCAACTTTAATTTGACATGGAGAATCAACATCCTTTGCAATATCAAATTACTGTAGTGATTTTGAGTTAATTCAGTAAGATGTTTCCTTGTACTCCAGTAGCAATCCGTTGGACCAATTAATGGTCTCGTATCATTTTCCATATTGGTTTTTTTTTTTATGTTATTGAAATTGTTTGCATATGTAAAGGTTCGTTCCTCTTCTCCATACAATTATTCTTGAAAGTAAGACAAGTGGTCTTGCATTGATGTTTTAACTCATTTTGTCAATTATGTGTCTCCTCCTAGCGGTAATCCATTTCAACGAGTTATCACTTTTCCTTGGCAATCTGTAATTATCAAGTATGTTTTCCTTGTTAAATGAAAATTGACAAGCTCATCTTAAAATATGTTTGCTCAATTGGTATGGAGCCTACTCACATTAAAACTCAATTGAAGCGATGATCAATTTTCATTCTACCATGTCATTTCCATTTAATGGACAAATAAAACATTTAATTTAAATTAGAGTGATGGTCCATATCATTTTGGTACAGTGTTAGTCTTTTTCCACGAGGTATCCCTTCCTTCTCAATTATTGGTCATGGTGTTATGTTAATAGGCCTACAACATCATTTCGGCGAGTAATCGCTTTTTGTACTCAAGTATTAATTCATTGGAATTACTGGTCCTGTATAATTTCTAATATGGTTTTCAATGTCTTTTGTTATTTGACGATTCGTATCTATCCTGTAATTTTAGTTGAGGATAAGCAGTGTCTTAACTGTTTTTGCTCATTTTGTCAGTGATTGATGTAGTAGCGACTCGCTGGAATTACTTGTGCAGTATCATCTCTTATTATTACGTCCCACTATACAATTTGATTCTAAAGTTCTTCATCAATCAGATATTAACTAATAAAATGAGTTTCGCCAATCTGTAATTATTAAGTATGTTATCCTATAGGATGTGTATATTCACCGATCCATTTTCTTCTTATCATATTCGTTGGAGTGATGTTCCATATAAATTAGTTTAGTTTCTTTTATCAATTTCCTTTGCAATTGGCAATTGCTGGTAGATGTGACTTTTCCTTGTAGAGAAGCACCATTGAGCATCTGTGAGTTATGATCCTGCAAACTACTGCTTGCCAGTGGTCTGAAATTGCAGGAAAACGGTGAGATGATGTGGGCTTCTCTGCAATAGTCTGTTTCTGGTGGGTTTTTTTTTACCATTACTATTATTCGAGAAGCAATTTGTGGTCCAGTATAATTTTTGATTTTTGAAGTTGTCCTTATCTTTTCGGCATACCATTTGCTTTTGACAATGTTGTTCCACTATCAATTTTGATCAAAAGCATCTAATACATAATAACAATTCCTACATCATGTAATCTGACAGTAGCTTATCAAATGTTTTTCCATATCTGTTATAATCAAGTGTATTCCTTATAATGGAAATTGCTTGGTAGAGAAAATGATTCAAATGCTTCCAGTATACTCCGTTTTGAAGATCAAAAATCAAAACATAATGCTTCCAGTCATGTTAGCATTGTGCTGCCTTAAAGAAAGTTCTATGAAAATATGTAGTGGACGTTCTCAAGAAATATACCCACGTTCTGCAAAAAAAAAGGTCGCGAGTCGCTGTCATGTGATTTAATCGTTCTTGTCTATTGTGTCATCGGCTATATCTTCGACAACCATGTCCAAACACTCTCTAAAATTGCAAGTCGGAAATCCGTTTGGTTTCAAGTAGGACCTGGCCAAGTTAATTCTACCGGGACGCTTTTCTTTTAAATCGCGATCGTGTCGAATCCTGTTCTTGAAATCGATCTGCTGACCTAAGTGGTCGTCAATCCCATTCATGACGTCATATACGTCCTTCATGGCGTTGTCAAGCTTGGTGATAAGCTTACTGGAGTTGTCTATACAACCACGTGACATCATGTTAACTACCTCTTCCTTGGTGTGGTTCTTCAAATGCGGGAAAGGTCCTCGGCAGATCTTGGACCATGTTTCATTAGCACGTTGCAGCATGTAAACCATCTCGTCATTGTAGCACTGGAGAGTGTTCAGATTACGTAACAGAACAGAATTCTGATCATTTTCGTTTGTGTCAATATCATCAATGGCGTCGTTTTGAAAGCTCGTCCATTCGTCATCACTGAGGATTGATGAGTCGGCGTTCACCAGATTCCAAAGCACTTTCAGATCCGTCAGTGTGTCTTTTCCTGTGTTTTCGTTGTCATCCACAGCGCTGTTCTTATTCCTTGAGCCTTCAGGTTCCTCACCATGGAAAGATACAGACCAGGCGATGCTCTTTCGTGATGATTGAAGACGTTGGATGGTATCTTTTTCAGATCGCATGTCTGCAATGCCACTGTCATGTGAGGTGTTCGGCGGTGTTACTTTCACACGATGGCTATTAACGGAAGATTCCGACTTAGACCTAAACAAGCCCTTGTTTCGTATGCCTTTACCACTTACTCGTGATTGAGTCATGTTCTCAGAAGTCGACTTGCCAATGTCTCTGATGGATGAAGTGTGATCTCCTACCGGAGAAACCTAACAGAAAATGAAGTATCAAAGGTGAAAGTAACTTGGGTTGTTTTTGTTTTGTTTTTTGTTTTTGTTTTTGTTTTTTGTTTTTTTTGGCCGGGGGGAGGGGATGCGTTTTTATGCCTATTATTGTAATTTATAATATTTATTATTATATTTATTTATTTATTTAATATTTATTTATTTATTTTTAAGAAATGTATATTTTTACCTTATTTTTTCTTTTCCTCATGAAAAATTTTCTGAAGCTAGGAAATCGCCTCCACCAAGGACAATATGGACGATCATTCTATAAAATGAAAATATATAATATTTGGGTATGAAGGAGGAATAGAAATATCAATTGAATTATTACATTGGTCAATAGGCTATTCACTTCACGTTATTCCCTTGTATTCCCAGAATCCTAATAACAAGTGTCGGGAACCGAGGAGGCATAAGCCCGTAAAGGAACTAAACGTAAACTTCACTAAAACTATTATACTTAATAAAAATCAATCACAAAACAAAACACAAAAAGCAGGGGAAAAAAACACCAACAAGCCAAGCAAGAACCAAGTTTAAGTTTAGTATTAAATTGATTGAATTAAACTGATCCCTCCATAGTGTATGTTAAACATGAAAATCCCCACATTAACTTCAAAAAGGTCGCTAACTTGAAGAAATTTATGAGCTAAAAAAAGTAGAGGCAATGCTATTTTACTCCTACACTTTGGGAGTTCTAAGGAGGCTTTACCCACCAAAACCCGAACCAGAGTAGTATGAGCCAGCCATTTTGAGTTAGAGATACGTCCCCACAAAACGTATCATTTGTATGGTATTATTTTAACTCTATTATTTTTAGTAAGAGTGGCTTTCTATTAGAGGCGCCTCTCTTAAATAAGCGCCAGAGGATAAGCGCAGTGTACTGAAGCCTCAAATTCGTTGGCTTTCAACGGGGCCTAAAACTAAAAAGATGACCAAAAGCAAAGTTTTAAAGTTTTTTAAAAAAGAATTGCAATCTCACCTTAGTTCCTTTATTACTTGATCGCTTTTCCATAAATTCTCTGATTATTTTTTGGATGCCCATGGTAATACAATAAATGATGATGATGAACGAGAACTTCTTGTAAGCTTTCGGTGTAAAAAATACTAGGCTTATTGGGTTTGTTGAAGGTTGAAGTGTACGTCTCCATGATCACAATGCGTGTTGCCATAGTATTTCGAATAGACGCGGGCGCTTGTAACTTGCGTATACTGTGGAGGGCGTGTGTTCAGGATTAACCTGCTGAATAATGTATGGCCATTGATTTATAAACCCTGTAGAATACATTATATTTGCAAGTCTCCATCTAATTAAAGACCACCTCCAATTAAAGACCACTTTTCAGTGGTCCCAAATTATTATTTTTTTTATTATTTACTGGATACTGCTTCTGAGTAGTAGAAACTTCCTACAGCTGCAATCAGTCCTTCTTCATTTGAGGCCATTTTCTCTAGTCACACTCGCGAGGATCCTTAGCTCCCCTAGTTTCTTGCTCGTTGTGAGAGTTCCCATCTTTTGCCTCCTTGAGTTGAGGTCTGCTCGCAGTGTACTGAGTAACTTTGTACAATGACGCCCTTTGCGAGCTTGGTACACTACTTGTTGGATCCAACTACAGCAAATTCTAGAGCTCTTTGTGCAGGTGTTCTCTGGCATTCGTAGCACTTGTCCAAACATGGACCACCTCAATTGGGCCACTTTATTTGACAGGGGAGTAGTGTTGCACATGCTGTATAAAGTATCATTTGAAATGAGGCTGTGTGGCTATCGGTGACCTGTGATCACAGGTCCCAACTTAACAAATGTCTTTTATCTTTAATAATCTAATTAGAGACCGAAGCTGCTAAAGGCCAAAACCCTAGTGTCAAAAGTGGCCCTTAATCCGGGGAGACCTGTACAGTTGTGGATGATCATTAACAACAAGAATAACATAATACATGTGAATACGAATAAATGATTTGTATACGATAGATCAATTTTAATCATAATCTTTCGGGAAAATAGAACCAACACTATCAAAATCTATTGTTGGAAAATCTTTTATTTTCACTGGTAATAAGACCTTATCCTTTATATATAATATTGCTGTGTATTTTGTATATATAGTGGGTTTTGGACCTGCGGTTGATTCCGTGTGCTGGCAATCCACCGTTTAGTAGCAGAAGATTTTCTCAATACCTTGCCAAATCCACTACTAGGAGGACCCCCTGGTAGGCGTGTAATTTACACCGGGAAATCCAACCATTCCATTCCAATATATATATATATATATATATATATATATATATATATAT